CTTGCGGCAAAAACGCACCAACGTAATCATTTGCTCCGAATCCAAGTCGGTCTGACAGTTGATCAGTGGCACAGCTGATCAAAAGCACTGCATCGTTGACGTCATCCAGAAAGTGGTGCTCCGTCATGTACAGCACATTCCATTCCTTTGTGTTCCGGGGCGCACCGACATAGGCGGCAGCGATAAGGTCGATAAACTGTCCAAAAAGACCCTCCAACTCTAGACCGCCTTCGGCATAGAACCGTCTCTGGACGATTGAAAAGCTTTTCTGCACCTCAACCTGAAAACCTATCAACCAACACTCCGGACAAAGCAGCACTCCAACCACTCTATGAAGCCAGCATTCGCCAAATTGTCATCTAGCCATCAGAATTGTCGTCGCGAGGGGTTTTTGTTCACTAGACTCAGGACCGGCTTTATCAGGTTCGCAGCACCAGCCCTCCAAAATAACGCTTGGACACGGCCAGCTGCGATATTTGCCGCACCCGACATAACATAAAGCACACCCTACTGAAGAACAAATAACTTCAAAGCCAACAACGCCACCTCCAAGGTTATTGGCGGGGTTGTAAACGTAGAGCATACTCTGCTAATGCTTCCCGGTGACGAGCACTCGGAGCTGCTCAATCTAATCAAGTATTTAAGTTACACACAACTAGCAGGTAAACTCTAGGCTTAGCACACTGCACACACACACAAATACAATCATTCACACGCACATACGCGCACACACGTAACACACGCTCATGACTACTGTCACCCCTCCCTAAGCTCTTCCTCCCTCGTGGAGCGCTGCTCCTAAGCTGCGCGTTAACACGCGCCCGGGTGACCGGCCGGATACCCCTCTCCCGCGTGGGGGTGATTTTGACCCCCTGAGATCTCGGGAACTAAGAAAGCTAGAGGCACCAAATTCACAGGGTGTGTTGACCAGCACACAAACTCACTTAGGTCAAAGTTTAAGATTCTTAAGTCATGAACTTCGCGTCAAATAAGGTTAAATAAGGTCAAATTATACGCTGTCTCCAAAGTGCCCCCAGAATCTAAAAAGCTGTTTTAAACAAAAGGTAACCAGCTCATTTAAGGTCAGTGACCTTGTCTGGCCTTTTGAAGGTCATGATGACCAAAATCATACAAGACTGCTCTGAGCTTTGCATTTGAAAAAGCGGCAAAGATTACGCAAGGCAGCATGCTCCTAAAAACAAATAGGCGACCTGGGTTTAAGGTCGATGAGCTACTATGACCTCTAAGAAGTCCATGGAAAATGCATACTGCGGTTCCTGCTATCAGTAAGTTCGAAATGAACACCAGAAACTATCCGGTACAGCCAGCTCTAGAATAATAAAACAGGTTGGGTTTGACCTTGGTCTGACCGTCGTGCCTGACCTGAGGTCAACGTTATTCGCTCACTCAATATTTGTGTTGCCTAAGAAAGCATCTCAGAGATGTATGGCTTCGTATAACACTCCGTTGTTGGATTAGATTGAACAACTCCCTAGAAATTGCCTTCGCTGAAATCATGGCCTGATTTTGACCTGCCATAGGTCAACGGCCTTACGAGGTACATATAAATTATTTATGCCGAGCGATCCGTTGTTCAATTGTCTACAGGTATGCAAAATCAAGCGCGGCTGCGCTGCGCTCTTCGAAAATTATTTTGGAAAACACTTTGAGGGCGTCAATTTGACGCCCCACCCGAGCACGTGTTAAAGAACTCACTAAGCCAACCCATTGCTGGGAAGTTGGCAGAATGTGTAACGTCACACAACCCTCCCAAACGCAATAAATTTGCTGCTGTAAATGCGGAGAACTAAGAAACGTAAACGTTAAAACTCAATATAACGTAGATGTAAATGTTGAGGACTAAAGCAGTCCTCTAGCCTCTCGCAGCCACCCCCGGAGACACTCTGGTGCACTCGGCGGAGTTGCGGGCTCAAGGCAACCGATCGAAGGTCGGACACCTGAGGTCTGGTGTCTCAGCGCACTTTGCAGACTTGCTGCTCGGTTTGTGCTGCAGCACCCCATCGTTTTGCTGCTGGGTAAAGTCACCACCGTGCGGCCCACCTACTCGTCTTACGCGAATTCATAGCCTCCCATCAACACTTCATGAGGCTGCGTTTATCTACACTTAAACAGGGTGTTCAACAGTTACATGGGTTTTGAACAGAAGTATCCATCTTGACGATCTTTCAGTGGCGCTCATAGCCCTACCCTTGTTAAGACCTAAACCCCTCTAGCTTTTATTCACCCGTCCGCGAGGATGGGGACAGCATTTTTCGGGGAGAGCATTTCAAGGTCACCTTGGCATTCATAACGTCATTTTAACGTCATCCAAATCTTGCCATTTCATTATCCATGCAACGATCAATGACAAGATTAATATAATAGTCGAGTCGTTCACATCTGTAGTTTTGAGCACGATTTCGAAATAAAACGGCCGTCAACTGGTTCTCATCCAATATTGTGCAAGGCACGATGGCGTAATACAAAATGACGCATCCAGAAACATATTTACTACACTAAGAAATGGTATCGTGTATTGCGGTGTTTTCTCCTTAAAATAGTGAGCCTGCCAAAGCCAAAGTGAGCCTGTTTCCTCATATATCATGCTTGCTTCGATATCTTAAATTGTAAAACAATCCCTTCAAGGTCAAATCTTTACCTGCGTTAAAACACACAAAACATTAACTTAACACTCTTATATCCTTAACAGGCTGCTTGAGTGATTGATGATGAGCAAGCACACACACACATACACATACACACACACACACACACACACACACACACACACACACACACACACACACACACACACACACACACACACACACACACACACACACAGTGGGCAGATGCAACCCGCCCCCCCCCCCCCCCTTTATGATCTTTGAATACTCTGGCATTTCGTGTGACCGCGACCAATTTTTTTTTATTATGAGGCATTAATTGCGCGTGTTTTGATACCAATAACGTGCACCTAGCATTCTTGGTTTCGGAGCGGTGGTGGTTTTTGAGGAACACTGCACGGCGTTCTACGGCCGGTGCGGGCGGCGAACCTGAAAACGCTGCCGTTGAACTTGTCCGAACGTTACCCGAACGTTTGGGTTCACCTGCATTCTGGACAGGTTACATAACCCGCGATAGAGCTGATGATCTTGCGGACAGCCAGTGGTTTACCAAAGTATCAGCATGTGAACTGTCCTATAAATTGCCCGGTTTTACAGCTGAAAGGCTAAAACTTCTCAATTTTTGCCGATTAAAAAACATTTGTTTTCAAAAACATTGCTGTTTATGATGACAACACTCGTGTACAAGCAAAACAAAAAGGGCGACCAGTCGATTTCCTTACTCTTACATACATGCAAGTGCATTTACGTGAGAGTTCGAGCCTCTATAGGTCGACCTGTCCAGGAACTGCCTGCACTTCTGTTCGAGACGAATCATGCTCACAATGGTTTCGGGTTTCCGAGGCTAAGTTTTAGTTTTATGGAGTGGTGGGACGGGGCATTAATTTCACGGTTGGAACCATCGTTCGGATTTCGGGCAATTGCCCTCGTCTAATGTGTTGTTACCTATACAAGACATTGTTGTGTAAATATTATCCCACTCGACGATGCTGATAGGCCGAACAATTGTTTCCTCTACTCGTGTAATGCCGCGCGTCGGAGTACGGACAAAGATGTGCCAAGTACTCTCCAGCATTTGTGTGTCGTATTGGTGACTTATTCAGGTGTTTTCCCATCAATCATCTGTCAGGGTTAGGCGAAAACAGCCCACCTTGATCCAGAGTAACTTAACTTACCTAAAGCTTACAAAGTAAAATGTTCGTAACAGCATGCAACTGAATAGTGCAAATCGCCAGATGTGCCTGATCCGCCTCGTCCAGGAGCGCAGCTAAGGGTAGGGAGGTGAGGGGGGCTTGGTCCTCTTCCCCCTTGGATTGAATTGTTTCGTCTTTCACCTCAGATGTCTCGACAGGAATTTAAAAGTTGGCGTGATGCATACTCGTCTAACACCACCTACCTCCCCCTCACCCAGGGCGCAGAAACTATGTTCAAGTTGGGGGGGGGGGGGGGGCAGACTCCAAAATCCCAAAATGGTCTCCTGAGGTTAGATAGCTGGCCCCCTTCTACGCCGGCATGGGTCCATAGAGGTCGATAATGGGCCCTCTTCAGGTCAGGATGGGTCCCATAAGGTAAGAATGGATCCTCTTTAGCACAAAATGGGACCTGCGCGGTCAATAATGGGCACTCTGCAGGTTAGAATGGGCCAACTACAGGTCAGAATGGGCCCTCGCTAAGCCAGAATTTACCCTCAAAAGGCCAGAGTGGGACCTCTTCAGGTCTACATGAGCTACTCTATGGGCCAGAATAGGCCATCTGTAGGCTAGAATGGGCCCTTCATAGTCAATAACGGTCCCTCTTCTGGTCAGAATGGGCTCTCTGCCGACCGGAATGGGCCCTACACAGCCAATAATGTCTCCTCTACAGGGCAGAATGGGCATTCTTCAGTCCACTTTGGTCAGAATAAAACCCAAATGGACCAGAATGAGACCTCGACAGATCAGGACCGACTTTAACAGACTGATTTAAGCCCTTTATCGTTCAGAATCGGCCCTTATCATACCAGAATAGGTTTCCCACAGGTCCTCCAACCTGGGGAACACCTCCAGCTTTCAAGTTGGGGGGGGGGGGGGGAGAGCTACCCTCGCTGACCCCGTTTCCTGCGTCCTTGCCCCCCCCCCCCCGCCACACACTCTGATAAGAAAATGCTGGCTGCACCCCTGGCGCCACCTGCGCCAGCGCGGGGCCGGCCGCGATTTGCTGCAGTGCAGCGGTCACACGGCAGGTATGACCTTGCCAAGGGCGAAGCGTCGCGTGGCAGTCGCAGCAGTAGATAGATAACGTCGCAGACTCATGCCGCATCCAGCCCCTTGCGGCGCGGCCGGCAGAGTAGCTGAGTGCTAGCGGCCGGCCGGCTGACCGGTCCGGCAGCGGTGCGCAGAAGTCAGTACGGTCAGACTGTCCCAACGGACAGCGCCACCGGGGCCTGACGGCGAGCGGTGGACAGTGACGTCAGACGGAGGTCAGACAGGTGATGGTAAAGCTGGACAGTGAAGTCAGGGTGGCGTGTAAAGGATGAACAGTGGCGACTAAGTGTCGTGGCGAAGGCTGGACAGTGCTGACAGCACGACGTACTGAAGGCTGTACGTGATGTCAATGATGGTCCGTCTCGCCGGCCCGCTCCTACGCTCTGCCCCTGAAGGCTGTATGTGATGTGCAATGATGGTCCGTCTCGCCGGCCCGCTCCTACGCTCTGCCCCGAGGTGCGAGTTTGAGCCGCTTGGCGGCGGGCCGGGAAGGGGGAGTGTTTGAGCGGCGGCCGGGGAAGGACGCTGATGTCAGTGTCTGGACAACACACTGGACAGTGCCCACAGCGCGGTGTGGTGAATGCTGGGCGGTGCCGGCAAGATGCCGTGGTGAAAGCTCATAGCGACGTCAGATTGGCGCGGTGAGGGCTGGACAGTGGCGTCAGGCAGTGGTGCCAGTGGCGTGGAGGAGAGTGGAGAGTGGTGTCAGAGTGGCGGGGAGAAGATTGGAGAGTGACGTCAAATTTGCGAGCTGAGGGCCGGAAAAAGGCGTCAAAGTGGCGTAGGAAAGACTGGAGAGTGTTGTCACATTGGTGTGATGAACGCTAGACAGTGGCGTCAGAGAAGCGTGGAGGAGACTTGAGAGTGACGTCAGATTGGTGTCTTGGAGGCTTGGCAGTGACGTCAGAGTGACGTCAAGAAGACTCGAGAGTGACATCGATTGCCGTGGTGAATGCTGAACAGTGACGTGATAGTGGCATGGTGTGCACTTGGCATCACGGCAGTATCACTGGAGTGGGAGGTATTGGGCAGCGGCGTCAGACTAGAATGAACAGTGAGCAGTAGCGTCAGACAGGCGTGTGCAAGGCTGGACAGTGCCGTCAGACTGGAGTGAACGGTGAGTAGAAGCGTCAGACAGGCGTGTGGGAGACTGGACAGTGCCGTCAGACTGGAGTGGACGGTGAGTAGAAGCGTCAGACAAGCGTGTGAAAGACTGGACAATGCCGTCAGGCTCGAGTGGACAGTGAGCAGCAGGGTCAGACAGGCGTGTGAAAGACTGGACAGTGCCGTTAGGCTCGAGTGGACAGTGAGCAGCAGGGTCAGACGGGCGTGTGAAGACTGGATAGCGGCGTCAGACTGGGGGAAACAGTGAGCAGCAGGTCAGACGGGCGTGTGAAGACTGGATAGCGGCGTCAGACTGGGGGAAACAGTGAGCAGCAGATCAGACGGGCGTGTGAAGACTGGATAGCGGCGTCAGGCTGGAGGAAACAGTGAGCAGCAGGGTCAGACAGGCGTTTGGAAGACTGGACAGCGGCGTCGGACTGTTTTGGTGACCACTGGACAGTGACGTGAGAGTGGAGTGGTGCGTGCTGCATAGCAGAGGTAGGCTGAAGTGGACGCTGTACAATAGCCACTGGTCAGCGTGGTGGACGCTAGAACGAGAAAGTGGAGAGTGGTGGGGAGAAGGCCGGGCTGGCGAGGCAGGCGGCTCCATCCGCGTGGGCGGGGGGAGTCGGTATAATAATAATTGTTGGCTCCCACGAAACAACGCAAATGGAAGACAATTGAACAGGCGGAGGTGCGCGCGTAAAATGGATCCTCCAAACCGGTCAGCGCCGAGCTCTACTCCAGAGAGCGTTACTGGCCACACCGGGGAAGCCACTGCGAGCGTTGAAAGCCAACGAGGGCCGAACAGCTCCCAGGAAGTATCGTTAACTCTGGCAGAGGGTCTCATGATACAGTTGTGCGCAGCTATGCTGAAGGACGCCGACGCACTAATAGATGAGGTTATTCAAGGGGGGCTGGTATTGAAAAGTGGTATTGAATGCAACGAGGATGATGAACCGCGGCTGTTACCTGAGCTACCATACTCGAAAGAAGCTCCGAAAAACGAAGTCAAGAAGGAGCGAGCTGCCGAGGCTAAGGCACAAATCACGATCCCAGCTGACCAGCCAGCGCAGAAATGTGTGGAAAAAGAGGGGACCGAAGCTGGTAAAGTGTCCGCTAAAGTATTGGATAAACTATCTAAAATACCGGATGTCGGGCAAGACAATGCAGTTGCTCAGACAGCTGGCGTGGCACCGGTGGGCCCGTTACCACAAGGTGATAATGAACAGAGAGATGCTGCGTTGACGGGAGTACTTATGCCTCTCCCGGCCGACTTGTTACCCCCGATTGGCATCGATGAGGAAGTTGGTGACGCTGAGAGGGCCGCCGTGGTGATGTTCTGCAGGGACGTCCTGAACGCCGAGGCCATGGCTGCCGTCCCGGCCACAGATGACCAGTCCGCGTGTAGCAGGGACGCAAACGCTGTCAGATCCAAAACAGAAACCCAGGCGGCGACGGACCTGACGGGGGACGCCAAGCACGGATCGGCCCGCGCTGCGATAGAGTCACGCCTACGATGCAAACGTGACGCGCTGCTGCCCTATCTCGAGCGCAGGGTGGAGCAGGCATTACCTCACGATACAGAAACGAGAAATGCCGAGATTGATGCCACCCTGCTGGAGCTGTACCGCTCGCTACTGAATCGCGTCACCGTTACGCTTAACGTTACCCAGAAGGTGACTGTCATGACCGACGTGCACAGTCCCCAGCTGAGTGGCAGGGATGGCATGGTTCAGGCCACAGTGGAACGAGCTGCTCTTCTCGTTTATCGCTATTTCCTGACAGAGGCGCGGAGATTGCACCTACAAACTCATAGTCTTATGTAGTCTCCGAGTGCCCACCTGGCGCGACCATGGTCGAGATTTGCGTTTTAGACTCAGACAGGCGATCTATTTCCTGATGAGCAGAGTGGAAAAGAGGGTGGACGAGTTGACGACCCAGCCGTCCGGCCATAGCACGAGCGCGGTGACAGCCCAGTCGGAGGTCGGTCCCGCGAAAGTGGAGGGTGGCGGAGCTGCGCCTGCTGGTGACCAGCTTGCAGCACTCTGTCGAGTATTCTGTGCAAGAGAGAATCTGCTGTCCGCTGCAGGGTTGCAGCACAAGGCACATGAATACAAAAAGCTGCTGGTCGATGAGCTGAGCAGTGTAAAATCATATGCATCCTTCTTTCATGACGCCATTAATAACAAGTGTGGGCGTAGGGATCATAACGGTTGGGCTGACGATCATGATGCCAATTCAAGCAAACAGACCAACCACTGGGCACAAACGTATGATGAAGGTCATGCAGCATATTGCGAGCTCACTGATGCCATGGCAAAAAGTGTAAGCAAAGAGGTCTGCAGCTGCGAAGGACTGGGTGGTCTACGGGTGCAGAAAGTCCACATGTCTGGTAGCGCGTGGGAAGGCACAGAAGTTCACCTGACTACAGGCGGCTCCGATTTTGACCTCATGCTTGAGTTCGGACCAATTAGCGTGCTGCCCGCGGTGGGTCAGCCAATGGGAGTACCGGCTGTTGCCAATCAGCCAATCGCCGTGCCAGCTAATGTCGATCAGCCAGTCGGGGTGCAGGCAGACGCCGACGTACCTCTGCCAAACCTGTCGGGCGGCGTGGTCGTCATCGAGCAGCGGACCGAGTGGCCAGGCCGCGTGCAGCTGAAGCACCCGCGCCGTCCCGAGTGCGGTCACAGTGACCTGCGGCTGCTGCGACACGCCCAGCTGCAGATTCCGCTTGCTCGGCTCGTCCAACACTGCATCGAGAAGGGAGTGTTCACCACCGCGGGGCAGCCTTCTTTGCTGACCGTCCCGTCCCTGCCAGTCACCTCCAAGGACGGCGATCTTGACCTTGTGCCGTGCGTGCTCTACCCGGGCTGGTCGTGCCAAGAGTTCAAGACGCGCCATCGGCCCTCCGGTCAGCCGAGCGCCAAGCTGGTGGCGCGGCTGTGCGCCATGCCGGCGCTCCTGGTGTTGTCCAGCAACCCGAGCGTATTCGCGAGCGATCTTGATGAGTACTACCGTGTGTCCTTCTCCCGTCACGAGTGCGTGGTGCTGCGGTCTCTCACCAAGGTGCAGAGGACCTGTCTTGTCCTGCTGAAATACTTCATGCGGATGGCCAGCCCTGACACGTCCAGCTACGACCTGAAGACGGCCCTCATGTGGGTTTGTGAGACACGCTCCCCGCACCTGTGGACCTGGGAGGGCATGCTGGACTCGATGAAAGCCGTGACAGACTACTTAAGCGCTTGCAAAAGGCGTGATGGGTATCTGCCCTGCTACTTCTGGCCAGAGATGAACACGTGGGTCGGCAAGGAAGAAGATAAAACGAGGGTGGAGAGGTTCGGGCCCCGCACCACTTTCGCGGAGCTCGCGGGCTTGCTGCACGCCGGGCTGTTGTGCCACAGGGATGGTGCACTCCTGCAGCGCCACCTGGGCTCCGGTGTGACCGGGAGAGACCTGCTCTGGCGCTTCATCATGCAGCATTTTCCGCGGCCGCCTTGCCCGGGCTCAGAGCTCTGTCAAGACGCGGCGAGGGGGGTGCTCTGGTCGGACGAGTTCCTGGCGCCGTTCCGTCGGGATCGGCTGCCGCCGCATTGTGCGGGGGCCGGCTGGTTCCTTGAGCACGCTCTGGACGACGGCAGCGGCGAAAGTGAACAGGAGGTGGACGACAACTGGTGACTGGGTGGCACCGATAGTCAATATCATTCTGCTATCGACGTGTAGATGCAGACGCTGACGCCAGCAGCGCAGTGCAGTTGCTGATAGTAACGCAAGTAGCTCAGTGCAGCCGCAGACGCCGACGCAGGACGCACAGTGCAGTTGCTGACGGTGTCGAAGGCAGCGCAGTACAGTTGCTGACGGTGACGTAAGCAGTACAGTGCAGCTACTAACGCTGCTGCGTGGCCGCGGCTGCAGGGTGGCCGTGCGTGGGCGATGGCTGGCTTACAGGTACGAGCAGTTTTATAGGATACCCGCTATTGTTCTGGAGTTGCACAGCGTCATGGGTGCAGCAACGTGCAACAGATTGGCTGGAGCTTAAATCGAGATGGAGGGGCGGGGGGGGGGAGGAGTAAACAGCAGCAAGCAAGTAAAACAGATCGTCCAGTCCCGTAAACAGCGAGCAGACTGGCGACGAGTCTGCCCGTCTCGACCACGCATCGCTCCACGGCAGACGTGCCGTGGCGGCCAGCACGCCGCGGCCTCCGAGGTGTCGACTTGCAACTCAGCGAGAGTTTGCACACAGAGCCGCATCATCGTGGAACGCCGAGTTCGAGAGTCGGCCGCCGTCACTGTCGTTGCCATCACTGTCACTGCACTGTACTTCGACGGTTTCATTGTGGTGCATGTATTTAAAGGGAGCGTGTTGAATAACACCTACGCCTTAATTTCATCGCGTCGTTGCATAATACTGTCTTGTTTTTGTACTGCATTATGAAAGCACCTTGACTGATTTCATAATAATCGCCGCGTGGAAGGATTCTGATGACTTTCAGTATGATTATGAATCTGGAGGAGGCAAACGGCCCTGAAAATGGTGCCTTTAGTAACAACAGCGAAACCCGTGGATTGTGATCGTGGTGCGCAAAGTTGGGGGACACAATCCCGCTTTGAGTTCAGGGCCCAGCAAGCCTGACATTGTGCATGAATAGTGCTTCTGTCAGCCTTGAAACAACCCACCCATCAGTGAATACAGAACTAAAGAAAGCAATCGGTGGGGTGTTACATACTTTTAATTACTAATATTATTCATCACCTTGCATGTTCCGTCGATTGTGCAAGGGTGATGAACCCTGGCATATGCATGTGCGCATGCCATACCTTGGCAATGCCAAAAAAGAACGATGACAAAGCAATACACCAGCAATACCCCTTTAATATATTCAATTTAAAAATACGCATGTTCTCATTCTCACATCGCAATAAGCGTCCATGCAACAAGCATTACCGGTGCTACTGGTCAAGACTAGTTAGTGCTCACATAAGTTATCGAAACACATTCCACGCTTAAAAATAATCCCTAGGAATCGCATACAAAACACCCACACACCGCCGGCTGTCAAGAAGCAGTTCCGTTGCGGCGAGCTGCCCATATGTCCCACACCAGTGTACGCCAGGCGAGGCCGTTGCTGCCGACGGCCGGCGCGCCGCGCCATTGTCTGCTCGTACCCAGCCTGCCTCTTCCGACCGGCGTGAGCGGCCGGACGCGCGTCCGGCCCGGTCGAGCGCGCGCGTCCAGCTCCGCACGCCCCCGGCGCCGGTCCCGGCTTGCAGCGCGCGACGCCGGACTAGATGTCCAGCACCAGATTGCCCCGGGCGCCGGTCGAGTTGACAATGTCACGGTGGGCCATGCTCCGCCTGCCGGCAGAGGGCGTGGCGGCGTCAGCGCGGCCCGGCGCTCGGCCGACAGCCGGCCGGACAGCCGCGCCGACGGCTGAGAGGCCGCGGCGGTCACTGGTGAACGTTCACTGGTGAGAGGACCCGGTGGTCACTGGTAAACGGTCACGGCTGAGAGGCCCCGGCGGTCGCTGGTGAACGGTCACTGGTGGGAGGCCCCGGTGGTCACTGGTAAACGGTCACGGCTGAGAGGCCCCGGTGGTCACTGGTGAGCGGTCACCGTTGAGAGGCCCCGGTGGTCATTGGTGAACGGTCACGACTGAGAGGCCCCGGCGGTCACTGGTGAACGGTCACCGTTGAGAGACCCTGGCAGTCACTGGTGAGAGGCCCCGGTAGTCACTGGTGAACAGTCACGACAGAGAGGCCCCGGCGGTCGCTGGTGAACGGTCACTGGTGAGAGGCCCCAGTGGTCACTGGTAAACGGTCACGGATGAGAGGTAGAAGAGGTGTCTGGTACGCGTACTGCCTCAACAGCAGCCTGATGGGAAATAATGATCACGTGACGACGACACTGATCTATACACGACCATGATTCCACTGTCATCCATATTAATGCCGTACATCTACTCTAACGGTCCAAAAAACACGGGTCTTTCACTCAGATACGAGTGAAAGATACAGTAGCAAAAGATACTCAGCAAAATATACAAGTCAGTGAGTACCGCCTCTCCCTTCAGGGGACTCTATTTATACAAGAACATGCCCCAGGATTTATAACAGGACGGGCGACGTGCGCTCACCTGTTCCAGAGGGTAGGCCTTGGCCACGACGGGCGTGAGCCAGCCAGCCTCGAGTCCCTCCAACACCCGCGGCCGTATCTCCTCCCAGTCGGCCTGTCCCGCACGCAGAGGCCAGTCAGACGCCGCACAGCACCGCCAATGTGTGAGCGGCGGCAGCAGAGGTACGCACCACAACGGTCATGCAACATCATGGCGCTAAAAAAGCGCAAAATAATAAGCATTTTCTGCGGACGTCACGCCAAATGCCGCGCGCTGTTCCCCGCGTGCACCGCACGGCGGCGGCACTGGGCAGTAGGGGTAAAATCCCGCACTTGCGACAGCTGCGTGGCTACACCTACTTTCGTGGTGGCGGCCAGTGCGCAGCCCATGATGCTGCTCTCTTTAGCCATCGTCATACGCGGGTCGATCGTAATGCTACCGCGACTGCCGATCACCTGAGGACAAACAGCCACGCGTGGATCAGTCTATGGCAGCTTAATACACGCCGCTAGTAAATAAATAAATATTATATAAATAATAAATAAGTAATTATGTAAATAAAATAGTAAATATATATATATATATATATATATATATATATATATATATATATATATATATATATATATATATATATATATATGAGCGGCGGCGCGTAGCATACAAATTATTAAAACAAACGAGGCAGTGACAGCTCATCGCCTTTCCAACCTGCTATTTCACGTTACGAAGTCATGAGCGCACGATACGAAACCAGCAGAAAGGCGCACAACAGCAATGGCACGAATGCTTTAGCCAGGGGTGCGGCATGTCAAGTCAGTATGTACAGACAAGCTAGGTGCACAGACATGTACAGACAGGCGTGACTGACAGACATACAAACAGACAAGTACAGACATGACACGACAGCGAACGGCAGTATGTACAAACATGACACGACAGAGAACGGCAGTATGTACAGACATGACATGACGGAGAGCGGCAGTATGTACAGACATGACACGACAGAGAACGGCTGTATGTACAGACATGACATGGCATGACAGAAAGCGGGAGCATGTACAGACATGACATGTACACCATGTCACTGTGTAGCTTGCCACTCACGATGACGCGCCCGCGAAACTGCAGCATCTCCAGATCCCGAGCCAGGTTGACGTTGGCCAGCATCTCCAGGATCACGTCCACGCCTCCGCCAGACGCCTGCACGATCTCCTTCGTGTACGAAGGCCTGAAGTTCAGCAGAGGGCAACGCCATTAGCACGGAGCAGCGCGACCAGCCACGGCGAGAGTGATCAGCGTCTCGCGTGACACTTCCAAAGCGGCGAGACGGGCGACCGGCTGGCTTTGGCCTTAGCAGGACAATGCTGCGTAGGCGACACACGTCATGCTGATTTGAGATTCGGGGCGCGCTGACTGCATTGGCCATATTGCGCCCAACATATATGTTGTGGATACAAACCATTCCCACGGGGAATGGACGCTAGTGTTCATTGACCGACTACAGGCAGCCTTGCAAGCATGACAGGCAAGCTGACACTAATGTTGCAAATACGTATTTAAATTTAATGTGGTTTAACACGCGCTCGGGTGCGGGTCAAATTGACCCCCCGACGGTTTTCCAGGTTAGTTTACGAACAACGTGGCGCAGCCACGCCAAATTTTCCATAGCTGTAGACAACTGAATAGCGGATCGTTTGACATACAAAATAGATGTACCTTGCAAGGTCGCTGACCAATGGCAGGTCAAAGTCAGGCCAGGGTTTCAGCCAAGGCAATTTCTTGGGAATTGTTCAATCTGACGCACCAACGGAATGTTTGATGAAGCCATGCATCTCTGAGATGCTTTCCTATGTGCCAAAAATATTGAATGAGCAAATTACATTGACCTAAGGTCAGACATGAAGGTCAGACCAAGGTCAAAACCAACCTGATTTATTACTCCAGGACTTGCTGTATGGGATAGTTTCTGGTGCTCATTTCGAACTTATTGTCAGCATGAGCCGCATTATAAATCTTCCATTGACTTCTTAGAGGTCAGAACAGGTCATCGACCTAAGATGACCCGGGTCGACATTTTGTTTTAGGAACATACTGCGTAGCATTATCTTTGTTTGTATTCAAATGGAAAACTCAGGGGAGTCTGGTAAGATTTTGGTCCACGCGACTCTCAAAAGGTCAAACAAGGCCACTGACTTCAAATGGGCTTGTGACCTTTTGCTAAGAAACGTTTGCCAGGGTTCTGGGGTCATTTTGGAGACCAACCCGGAATTTGATCTTGTCTGACCTTATCTGACCTGAAGGTCATGACCTAGGAAGCTCAAACTTTGACCTAAGCGAGCTCACGTACAGGTCACGACACCCTGAAATTTGGTAGCTCTAGCTTTCTTAGTTCCCGAGATCTCAGGAGGCGGGGAGAGGGGGGTCAAATGAACCCCCCACCCGAGCGAGGGGTATCTAGCCGGCCACCCGGGCGCGTGTTAATCGACTGCTTCATGCACACGTTCCAAAGATAGGAGCTGAGTGTTTCCCATCGGGATAATCGAACATTCAACAGAATATGCGGATTCGTTATATGCCCGAACACCGAAATCTGCAATCAAATGTCCCAGCGATGAACCCTGTTAGCTCCTTAGCGCAAGGGGGATGGGGATAGGGGGGATATTTAGGGGGATACAACGCAACTTTCCCAGCATAAATGCTGTCAAAACTAGGCGAACATTGCGGTCGCAGAGCGAACTTCTACAACATTGGCGAGATAACGACATTTAGCTGCCTCGCATGTCATGTAAGCGTCAGACTTCTGGCCCGCGGCGCCGCTCACACCGCGCTGCAATGCACAGACACGACCGCATCGGTCCAGCTGCGCTGCGCCGCGGCCTGCACTGTGTGTTGTACGTCCCGCACGCCAATGGGCCGACGCAGGGTCTCACACAGCGCCCTGGCGAAGGCGTGGAAGGCAGAGAAGAGGCGGACAAGACAAAGAAGACAATGTTCACGGAGCGCAGCCGCCCCAGGTGCCACCAGTCGTAATGTCCAGCTGCTGCCGGCACAAGCGGAGCTTTATGGTACACATAAACCTCGTCATTCAGCGGGCGCAGTGGAGTCCCTCGGTCGCATGAAGCGCGCGTTGCACACGACCGGGGATTCCGCCGAGCGCCGTGGTGACCGCCCGCTCCGGATATCCGGCGGTCGGCTCGCGGTCTACCCTGCTGACGTGACTCTGGGGGACACGCCGTCAGACGGCCCCGCGCCACGAGCAGCCGGTGACCGAGGCACTCCTCGGAGGTGGCGCTGAGTTGTCCGGCGCGGACCAGCTGCTCTTGCTCCTTCAGGCGAGGCAATAGTTCAACGTTGGGACCAGAGCACGTGGCTACGCACTTGGCGAAGACCGTCTCGGCCACCAATTCTTGCTCGTGGTGCCGCTAACCCAGCTTCAGTTTGTGGCAAAGGCTCTGCTCGATTACGACGCAAGCGCCCAAGAAAAGGTGCCCGTATTGAAAGCCGTAGTGTTGCTGTCCAGTCTGCCGACGTCCATATCCTAGTGTCGCAGTCAGCCAGCGAGCTCGGCGCAGCGTGCCGCCTCGGCGCGACCGGCCCCAGCACGCAGCATCTGCGCAGCGATTGTGTTCTCGATGTCGTCGCCGTACCGAGGACGACGACGCAACCGACCGTCCGCTGCTCGTGTCGAAGACCGCTTTCCCGCCATCGGTGAGCGGCACGCAATGCACTGGGATTGACCAGCGTCTTCACTCCATTGGCGATTACCCCTCGATGACACAGCCGTGACCGCCGCACCGTCTCATGGCTGAGACACGTCCACTCCGTGTTAACCCAGACCGCGGAAACAGCCCACATGGGGAGAACGGCTAGCTATGGTCACCTAGGTTTTGTTGGCGGCTGCGATTCGACAAGGAAGCGATCGACTCTTTCGCCGAGACTGAGGCGACGCCGACGGGTCTGAAGATGCACGGCGTGCTGATGAGGCCGCCCGGCGCTCCGTCCGGCGCCGAACATCCAGGTGACGATGTCCGTCGGCTGCTTCGCGCCCGGTTTGACGCCGCTCAATCACGTTAAATGTCATGTCCGCCCGAGCCGTGGCAGCGCGGCGGCGCTTCTCGCGTGGGGCAAAAAAAGAAGTCGCGAACCTCCCGGAGGGTGACAGTGGAGAAGAATGTTGCGATGACACCAAAAGCGTTATTGCCCTACCCTCCCTCCCACCTCTGGTGAAAGCCCTCCTGGCTGCCGCACCCGTGGGGCCACACCGCTTCCGGCTACGTTCAGTGCCTGCCAATTGCGTGGAATGCAAACAATTTTCGCACGGTGATATTTTCTTACTTTACTTCTTTCACTCACCTGATTCAACATTTCCGTTCATTTCATATTTCATTCCACATCAAACGATTTTGAATTATACTGCCCCCGGGCATGCCTCTGGGTCGTTTGACCAGATGGCGGGTCAGGACAAGGTGAACTGTGTGACCAGACGTGCGGCCCGGACGGCACGGTACCCGACTGTCTGGCCGTGTGACCAGACGTGCGGCCCGGACGTCAGGGTCCCCGGTCAGGGTCAGGGTCGTCAGGGTCCCCGGCTGTCCGGTCGCTGCCCCCAAACCCAGCCGACTGTGCAGGCTCATTTCATTAAAACCTTATCCCAGTGATGTCACATCCGCCGCGCGTCAAAGGCGACGAAACACGACAGAAGCCGAAGCAGAAACAGACATAAAAAAGGCGATTATGAAGACGTTACACCTGATAAGCAGACCTTACGCACTAAACGGACGCGGGCAATGACAAACGCTGTCAAAAATTAGACGATGGAGACGCAAAGACGTATTACGGGTCAGACGGTGACACTATTACAAGTACGACGCCGGTGGCGTTGTGTCTGCTGGCCACTCACGTCCTGTGGTTGAAGACGTGGTCGGCGCCCTGCTCCCGCACCAGGCGCAGGCCGTCCTCCGAGCCAGCCGTGCCGATCACGCTCATGCCTGCGCGGGCCGCAGCGTGGCGTCACACGGCGTCTGCCGCCTGCACCGGCTCGCCGGCCGGCCAGCAGTGCTCTCACGCAACACGCGCGTCTCGGCACGAATTTATGGGAATAAAATGCACCCGCTACGGCAACGGCGACAAGCGTTCGTCTCTTGCTAGTTCCATAGCTAAGAACTGGGTGAACTAACTTGCAGCCGGGGGTGTTACCATGATACCAGCCTGTGGCTGAAAATAAATACCCGGCGACGTATGGACGAGGACGGTGGACTTTCTAGCCATCGGGGCCAAAGGCCAAACAAGCTGTTAGTATTGAGCTCCTTGCCATAAGTCGGGGTAAAGGAATGTAAAACGAACGTGGGCCTCACCATGGAACTTGGCAATTTGCACCGCCGCCAGGCCAACCGCCCCGCTGGCTCCGTGGATAAGCACCTTGCAATCCTTGCTGGCCCCCGCCCTGGTGGAAAACATGGTACATACTTGTCGGCGGCCTACGTTAACACATTGCGGGATGGAATCACACTATAACCAAAGCACATTCTCTCCAAGGACAAGTACAGCACGACCCACGGTGGCATCTAGCGGGCCGAAGTCACAGCAGCAATATGACAGTCCCGACGCCAGGGGTTCTGATTCGTCGAGACGGCGGTATGTGGCGCCATTCACCTCGATCGGATTAAACAAACGCACGAAGAATCAGAGAGTTGACCTGGGATGGCTTCCACATAATGTGAAAAGACCCATAAGTTGAAAGTGCGCCAAATGAAGATACGAAAAAAATGATGTGGGGGGGGGGGGGGGCAGGCATGTCACATGCAAACAGTGACTTTAGGTACACGTACATCGTGATTATACGTTTAACAAGTCACTAAAAGGCAGTCAACCGATAAATTGTGCCATCTAACAACTCCCACACTTTCGTCACTACACCGGTCAGCTTTGTAGCGGGCGTAATGGAGCAACGCCTTTCACCCAATCACCAGGGACCGTGCCACACTGTCGCCCACCTCTGCATGAGGGCGTGCCAGGCGGTGAAGTAGGGGACGCCGACGCCGGCGCCCTGCTGAAACGTCAGCCGCTCCGGGAGACGACCCACGCACGAGGCCGGGGCCCGCACACAGCTGGCGTAGGTGCCACCCGGGGCGCCGTCCGGGCCCAGCGAGACGAACACACGCTCGCCCACCTGCGGCAGCCGAGCGCACCGCTCCAGATGAGACAGGGTCCAGTTGTCTGGGTCCAGCACTTCAGCACAGCCAACACCGCCAACGAAAGAGCAGGGGATCGCTTCGCTGGGTCGCCCGTTTGGAAATGAATGTCATGGCCTTTATGAAGCTGATGTGTTCACGCGCGGTTGATCCGCAAAACGCGTTACCATTCAAAACAAATTCCAGATGAAACAAACAAATTCGAAACTTCGTTTCCATGTCATAAAATTCGGCTCATTCGGTCACGTTCTCGTCAAAACTTCCTGCTCAGATATCACCGACATCGACGGCCAGCTCGGCTTCTAGCAAAGGCTGCGATTTCTAGTGCGCCGGTCCAGGTAACAGCCCATGCAACCGACAGGCAACAGCCCAAGGTTGAATGCTCGCGAAATATCTCACGATCCGATTTCAGCCCGTTCGGCGAGAATCGATGCCGCGAGCCAAGGTCACGGAGCACCGGAATCGCAGTAACTTATTTTGATAATTGGGGTCAGCGCACGCCCGGGTGGCCGGTTGAATGCGACACACCTGGGGGAGGGATAACCTTGAACCCCATGCGACAGCAAAAACCAAAAGAGCTAGAGGCACAATCAAACGGGATCAAAATTCACATCGGGTCCAAAGTACCCCAGGACCCCGTAACACTTACAGCTTTAACCCGGACACACTGCCTGAGCGAAAGATTACTCGGGGTCATATCAGGTCAGTGACCTTATCTAGTGTTTATAAGGTCAAGATGACAAAAGCCTTCGTTTATTTTGATGTCGTGACGGCAAGGGCAGGTCACTGCCTTAAAGTGATCTCTATCAACCCCTTTGCTTGGAGAAATAATCCGCGTATGGTAATTCTTGACACCAATTTTCAATTTAAATATTAATAGTGTAAAAGGTTGTTATCATCTTGACACTATTGATACTTAATTGCGAATCAGTGTTAAGAACTACCATATGCAGAACACTCCCCAAACCAAAAGGGTTAATTGAGATCACTTTAAGACAGTGACCTCCCATTTCCCTCAAGAAATCAAAATAAAATACCTGTTGACGTCCTTGTGATCAAGGAATTTAAACAGAGCGCAAAGAACTGGCCGCATAGGATGATTTACTCAGGAAAAACAGTCTGGTTTTGATCTTGATCTGACCTTCACGCCTAAGCCAAAGGAACTAGTTTTGACCATAATTCCAATTGTCTGGTTGTCTAAGAGACCTAAAAGTCACATGAGTTCGCCTAGCACTCCGCTGCAACATTCTCTTACAACTGCCCCACTGACAACCATGATCGACCTTGACCTGCTAACCTTAGAGGTTTACGTGATTTTGCACACAAGTTCGACTAACAATTGCCTACAGTTGTGCAACTTTTGGCGTGGCTACGTCGCACTTTTCAAGTTATTTTGGGAAGACCGTCAGCGAACAAAGATTGCCCCACTCACCCGAGCGCGTATTACGATACTCTGGGCTCGTGTAATTCATCCCAAACACGATTGCTATTTTTCATTACCATCGTATCGCAGTACATAACACACCAGTTTCGCAAGGTGATGACGAAAAATGCGTTCATATGCATGTCGCTGCCCCTGCGCACCGCCCCCCCCCCCCCCCCCTCCATCTCATGCTCAGCCCAAAAGTATTTACGCTATCACGGTTGCGTGCCAACAGCCGTGAGATTCAGACATCGCGTCCCAGCCCGCGAACAGCACAAACGCCCCACCTGCACACTGTCGACGGCGTCTCCGATCTTCAGCACCTTGCCGGCGCCATCGGAGCCAGGCGTGTAGGGCAGCGGCGGCGTGCGCGCGTACGCGCCCGCGCGGATGTACGTGTCCACCGGGTTCACACCAGCGGCCACCATGCCCACCAGAACCTGCGCAAACCACGTCCAGGGGCTGTCATTGGGGAAGTTTGAGAGATTTCTGGCCTGCATGAAAGATGGCGTCTCGAACATTTCGTTATTGCGGGAGATGAGTGACTTTTCCTAAAAGAAGAACAGTTGATTCGATGCTTGCGAATGACAATGAGTTTCTGTACTGCTCCGCGGCACCTGCATTTACGCTGATTCCCTAGCACTCCTGGCATATCGGACCCGAAGCGACGAATCAGGGAAAAAGGCTCCAAAAACATGCGTGCATGCCACCATTCAAACAGTAGTAAAGTATTCGAAGCTGTTTTTGAAGACCATGAAATAGGAGCGGATTACCATCCCCGAAGCCACAAAAGAACGCAGGCGTCTATAAATAACTAAAGAAGTGAGCTCGGACCAAAACCATGAAATACATTTCCATCTCACATGTGTGCTAAGAACATCACCTGTTTTGAGTCCACCGCTTCCAGCAAAGCTGCATCGTCAACGTATTTCAACACCTCCGGATCCCCGAACTCGGAGACTTGGATAGCCCTCATCGTTTGGTGAGTGGCCTGAAAAGTATACATGCATTATCATTCGGCTTGCATAGCCTACACCAGCCGGTAGATGCCGGTAAGTAAGTGCATCAGTGGTAGATACGTTTTGCGGAGTTGCCCAGCAGCCCTTGAAGGTACCCGGGTCCCGCCCGTTCAATCTCCGGGGCGCACTTTCGTGGTGAGAAGGGGGGGGGGGGGGGGAGCGGAGGAAGGGGCTGAGCAGTCAGAAATGACGCAACCTTCCCCAAAATTACATCAACAAACTGGTTTCTCCCCAAATTTGGCACGCTTTCCGTTCAAAGCAGGGGGAGGGGGGGGGGGGGGGAGGGCAAGTCTGGTGTTTTCTCTACATACATCATCATGCTGCTCAACCAATTAGCTTCATCTGGCATTCAAATTCTGCAAGCGATACAACAGTGGTACATGCACTGTACACTCGTGAATGCCCCTCCCACCTCCATTTAACTCTATATGCCATATATGACAAATGACATTCTTCTCTCATGCCTGCCACCCACCAAGTTCGCATCAACCGACTCATGAATTAGCGGTGCGGCAACCAGCAGATTATGCGAAGACTGTGAAGGTCGCCAACAATGCCAGCTGATTGACGGTCAGAACGGGACCACCAGACCGGGCGGAGCCGGAGCCGAACCAGACCAGACAGAACTTGATGGAACGCCATGAAGCAAGACGGGACCGGACGGAATCACACCAGACCAGACCGGACGGGACTACACCATGCGGGACCGGATGGAACCGGACGAATTCTAATGGGATCAGATGGGATCGGACGGAAGCGGGCGGGACCACACGGGAGTAGACCCCGGACGGCACCCGACGTGACCGGACGGAACTAAACGTAACAGAATGGCACCAGCGGAACCGGACGGAACCAAAAGGGACCTATCCGAACCGGACAGGACAGGATCAGGCGACACCAAGTGTCCAAGCATCCAAGCGAGAGGAACCTGACATGGCAGAAGGGGACCACATGAAATCCGACGGAAACAGATGAAACCCCATGAGGCAAGACGGAACCAGACGGGACCAGACCACACCACAAAGGACGGGGCGGGACCAAACGGGACCGGTCAGGCCGGGAGGGACCGGGTCGGGCCGATAGGACCCGAATTGGACTCGTAGGGACCAGATCAAAACAGGAGGATCCGGATCGGATCTGGAGGGAAGAGATCGGACCGGGAGGCTCCGGACTAGCTCGGAAAGCACCTGATCGGGCCAGACGGGACCAGACGGGACCGGACGGGATCAACGGAGTCGGACGGCAGCGGACGTGACCGAATGGAGCCGGACGCTACAGAACGGGATCAAAACGGACAGGATGGCACGTCATATAGACCGGACGGGACAGGGTGGAAACAGGTGGGACTAAGCAGGACATGGAATGGGACGAGACCTGATGGGATCAGATGGAACCGGACGATATCTGGGGACCGAGCTGGACTGCACGGAGCCAAAGAACCACACAGGACTTAACGTCATGGGACGGAATCCATTGGCAATGGGGTGGGGACGTGACCAATAGGACAGGACCGGACGGAGCCAGAATGGGACTGGCCGGAACCAGACCGAGCCCGTCGGGTCCCGTCCGGTACCATCTGGTCCCATCTGGCCTCGTCTGGTCCTATCTGATCCCGTCCGGTCCTATCTGGTTTGGTCTGGGACCCATTCAGTTCTGTCCAGTCCTGTCCAGCTCATTCTCATTTCATCCAGTCCGTCCCAGCCCATCCGGTTCCGTCCAATCGCGTTCAATCGCGTTCAGTTATATTCGACTTCGTCTGATCCCGTCTGCCCCCCCCCCCCCCCCCCCTCCCTTATGGTATCTGGTACCGTCCGGTCAAGCGCGGAACCTTGGGCGCGATTTTTGGATTTGTTTGTGACGCTGTTATCACCTGAAAAGATTTGTGGCCTTCCTCCGCGCACAATCAATCGCCTGCCGCACCTCATGCATCGGTTGACGCAACCCGATTGACTGCGTGGCCAGTGTGAGGCAAAAGTTATAACGCTGTTTTAAGTATCTTTATGCTACATAGACCCCGATGAAGACGCTCGACTCCATCAATAATGCTTTGAAAATCTACTGATATTGACTATGCGCTTGAGTTTCTCAGAACAATGATCACATTGAGACGATTGTAAGAGGTGTGAGGCCCACGGCGGCGATATCGCCTCGGTCCATCAAAATCCTCTCCCCTCTATGCGTTACCCATAAAACGGCCCCTAAGGGTTGACTCATGCCACTGATCGTGAAGTAAATGAACCGCATCGAGTACTTACCACCGACTGAAAAGTCCGAACCTGTCTTCCGCTACACACAGACCGAATCACCCCACAACCGCGAGTAACATTGGCGAACATTGTGAGCAAGGACGATAGTCCCACACATTAACGTGTGAAAATGGATATGGTAGCTCTCTCGGACGTCCCAAGCAGAGAGCCAGATCATGCGACATAGACCATGCGCTGCTCCGAGCCCTTCAAACCCCTTAGCAAACTGTATCTGTTCAGTACCCAAGCACGCCTTTCTGTGGTAGAAACTTCAAAGCTTTTTCCATTCCTTTTAGTGAGTCAACTTACACACTTATAACATACATATAGATCGAAATGCTAAAATAAGCAGCATTGTGATTTTCGATGATAGATTATATGTTTATATATTCTTGTCATCTTTCTGACTTATTAGATACTATCCCGACATCCATCTAGGATAAGCATTGGCCTTTCGGCAAAATATGCACACGTGCATAGATTCAAATGTTTCTTTACACGAGCCTGGTGTCAAATTACGTCATTGACCGTAGATTGGTGCAAGCCAGGTATGTGATGTAGTTGGTATAGTGAATGCGCCGCATCCACCAGCTGCGCCAAATTCTCTGATGTACATCATGCGGGGGAGGAGGAGCGGTGATTGGGTGTTCTAATTTGGTAGTGGCCCCTCTACTCCAAATTTAGATCGTCTAGTTTCAACGGCAGGTTGGATCAGCCAGTAGTGAGCGAAAAACAAGCCCAGGAGGTATTATGTAAGGTATTACAACGATGAGTGCCTGGACTATAAGGTGTAAGCGAGAAGGCAGACCTGACGTTGGCCAGTTAAGAACTGAATAGATTCGGCGGTGCCCTCGGCCGGGTCGTGGTTTGGTACGCCATATGTCTTTGATGGATCATGCTGCTGTGAAGTTTGCAGTGACAGTTGAACAATTCTTTTGAAGTTATGCTGCATCATTTTTGTTGCTGGGGAATGTATGGTGCTGGTTATCAGCATATTTCTCAATATACTGAAATTTCATGCTTCAGAAGCCTCATACTTCTAAAAAACGGCTGACTGAATCTGCTATGCCAACCGGGCAATATTAGTATTAGTATTAGAAGATGTATTCAAAGCTTAATTTGGGAATGGTTCTGGTATGAGCTCAGTGTTCTAGACTGTTTTGGTCCATGAAAACAATTCAGTACATTCAAGTTAATCCCTTTGGTTGTGTTTTTGATACAAATTGCATTCATGTGCCAGATTCTTCTTTATGCTTTTCATGGGTAATTAAGTCCTGTGGGCAATTGCACATGACAATTGTATATTTTAAGGCATTGAACTAGACAGGATGATTTTCAACATTTTGAACAACCTTTTAATCCAGGCTACTTAGTTCCAGGTCTGACATTCTCAGCCAGGATTTTCTGCATTAGGGAAAGGAAGAGTCTGCTAATCATGGCTGAAGCTCCAGAAGCCAGCACCAGTGCCCACTACTACTGCCATGTCTGCAATGAGGACATCACTCCAGTGCTCCCAGTGAGATTGAACAGCAAACCACATATGTGATGACTGTTGGAAAGTACTGCATGGTTTATGAGGACAAGGTTACTGCAAGCATGGCAAAATCAAAGCATGACATCAGAAGAGCAGTAGAATTATATCTAGCACTACTAGGGAGGGGACATTATCATTTTTCTCCTATTCTTCTGGCCCAAGTGCCATGCTGACCAGACATGCTATACCATCCCAGGAGTACATCTGTCCAAGATGTCAGGGTGGCTTCATTGAGAAGCGTGAGGCTGAGGACACCGTGGCAGATGATCCAGATGATGAGCTGCCTCCAGCTGATGACCCGACCATGCGGGCAGTAACTCAGGTGAGTCCAGCCACACCATTACTGCCTGTCCACCCTCCCACTTGGCACAGCTGATCTCTAACTCTCTGGCACCACCAGTCCTGTCTGTCCTGTCTGTATTCTGTCTGTGTTCAACCTGTGTCCTACCTTTGTCCTGGCTGTCACGTCTATGTCCTGTCTCCTGTATGTGTCCTGTCTGTCCTTATCCTGTTTGTCCTATCCATGTCCTGCCCACTCTGTCCCTCTTCATACTGTCATCATGTCTGCATGTGCTGAGGTGCACCAGACCCAGCTGGGCACATGCTGGACTGGTTGTGCGCCTGAATGCCAATGTTTAATGGGCAAGCACGTGTGGGTGCTGGCGCACCTTGCCTGGGCTGGATGGGTGTAGGGCAGAGCATGCCTGTTTGGACATCTTTGGGGTGACAAGTCTCCCATGATGTAATACACTGTTTGTTTGCTATGCCATTCCATTAGAGTCTGGATGGTGCACTACAGAGAGCTTTGATGCTGCAAATTGTTTTCTGCTGCAATACAAACTAATGCATTGTTGTGGGTTGTGCAGCCTAGTCAAAAGTCATCTCCCTCACTGGCTGCCTGCCAAAGAATAATCCTAGCAATGCCCACTCAGATGTGGACCAGAAACCTAGCACATTGGATGCACTGGCCTTGACCAGATGATCAAGCATGTGCCAGGGAGGCACAGAGGCATTTCTGGAGCTAGAGATGTGGTTAGCGATGCCTCGCGCCATTGTACCAAAGTGTGATGGGGTCCTGTGGCAAACCTTCTCCAGCTGCCATATTGTAGGCGCTGGCCCCCATGAGGGCTTGTCGGCGCGGTTGTGCCGGCCTATACTGTACATTGTGACAATACTGTTCTGTGTATTGCAGGTTGCTCCCTATGTGGTCATGTCTCTCGGTTGTTTCGCTGAAGCGTTGCCCATCATCTGTACATCCTTGTGCCGCAGATGTGGAATTTCATCCCGTTCCCCGCAACGCTAACGCAACGGCCGCTCATACTAGGAACTCCCAACGCGCGCTCAGGCCAGAGGTCAGTAGCAGCGCGTGTTCACGGTAAGGGGTGGGGGGCGTTTCGTGCGCGCTTCCGCCTGCTATTCGGTAAGGTGCTACTTGCATTCAACGTGGCGTTGAATCATCCTCAATGGGCGCAAAGTGACCCTAGAAGTCGACGCGCCCTAAAACCCCAATCATCATCATCATCATCCTCAAAGTGTCGGCGCCGACCTCGAACGCCGTTCGGCGCCGACCTTGAAAACATCCCCAAATGCGTTCATTTGGGGATGCTTGTCTTTTACACCACTTGTTAACATTGATATCTGTCGTTCTGTACGTTTGTGCATTTTGGCGTGTTAACAATTCATGCGGTAAATGGGCCGGGTAACTAATGCCGAGTTAAGCTGAGCCCCGCCGAGCCCGCGGCGGCGGCCGTCCGGAGGGCCCGGCGCACCGCTGGTGGGCGGTTAGTGTGCGTCGCTCACGTTGGCTCGCCCGCCCAGGGACGGCGCGCAGCGCGCCGACCAGCCGCACGGCATCCTCGGAGACCTGCTCGACAGCCTGTTCGCCAACTTCCCCAACGTCAGGGTGAACGTCGACACCGGCGGCGAGGGTCCCATGTGAGTGTTTAACGGCGGCGATAACACCATGTGAGTGTGCATCGGCGATGGGGATCCTATATGAGTTGTCACTGTAGGCGGGGGTCCCATGTGAGTGCCCACCGGCGGCGAGAACACCATGTGAGCGCGCACCGGCGGCGGGGCTCCCACGTGAGTTGTCACTGGAGGCGGGGATTCCATGTGAGTGTGCGCCGGCGGTGGGGATCCTATGTGAGTTGCCGCGGCCGGTGAGGCAGCTCCACCTGCTGTGCTGCCCGGCCGCGGCGCATTCGTGGTGAGGCCAGTTCGGGCGCACTGACGGCTCCTCTGCCGGCAGCCACTTCCGTTTGCACGGCAATCCGGGCGACTATGCCTGGGGCAACCTGGAGTTGGACCGGATCGTCACGCACCTGCTGAACCAGATGGAGTCGAGCGGGCCGCCGCCGCTCGGCGCCGACCTCATTAAGGGCCTGCCGACCGTGGCCGTCACACAGGCCAGCGTCGGTCAGTGGCCGCCCGTCTCCTCCGATCCTTCAGATCCGGGGCCGTCACACAGGCCAGCGTCGGTCAGTGGCCGCCCGTTTTCTCTGATCCTTCAGATTCGGTGCCGTCACACAGGCCAGCGTCGGTCAGTGGCCGCCCGTTTTCTCCGATCCTTCAGATCCGGGGCCGTCACACAGGCCAGCGTCGGTCAATGGCCGCCCCCTCCCCGCCCCCCGCAGTCCTTTAGATCCTGTGCCGTTACGTAGACCAGCGTCAGTCAGTGCCTCCTCCTCTCCAGGCCTTCAGCTGGGTCGGGCTGGCCAGGGCGAACACACAGGCCAGCGTCGATCAGTGACTGCTCCTCTCCCCGTCTCTCTCCCACCTTCCATCCTCTTGCATGGTTGGTATTTCCGCTTGCTGAATCTATTTTGCCTATTCCTGTTTCACTATTCTTTGCCAGTTAAAATTTTATATGCTAGTGGAATCCAATAAATGCTCGCAGTTTCCCTCTATATCAAGTACGCCACCTTGAGCATAGTCCTTGTCTAGGTTATGGTGTGAAATAGGCTGCTGCGAACTGCGCCGGGACGACACCACTGGCTCCCCCTCACCGGCTGGCGTGTCGGGCGCCGGTCTGCGGCTCGTCCCATCACTGAAGGTGTTTCGCTCCTATGACGTGCAGGGCTCGGCTCCGCCAGTGGCTCGCTCAGGGCACGTCATGCCTGTTGGCGTTGAATAGTGGCGTTAGCGCTTGTACTTGTCGAAAAATCTCGTGTTCATCCCCGTTCATTATCATGGCTCGTGTGTTTCCAAGTCCCAGGCAATATTCGTCATGCGCATGCATATGCTGCGTCGCTCTGTGCAGCTCATCCGTGACAACTATGTCGTTTCAGATGCAAACTTGCAGTGCATGGTGTGCTTCGAAGACTACGTGCTAGACGAGAAGGTTCGCGAGCTACCCTGCTCTCACCTATACCACAGTATCTGCATAGTCCCCTGGTTGGAACTGGTAAGCCGGCGAGAGCAGTCTTCGCCATCGCGCACCGCCCCGTCTGCTCTCGCATAAAGCGATGCCGTTTCGTTAACACCGATCCGGGCATGTTTTTGCATTGTTGGTTCTAGAATGTGTTTACCTCACATGCATATATTTGACGATGCAGCAGTATATATTCAGAACGTGCTTAACAGTCGCTGATGCGCCAATGACTACGTCTTTGCGGCTCTGTTTTATAGCGTCTGGCCGCTTATCATTCTTGGCGTATTTTCCATAACCTGACGTCAAAGCACTTAATCCCTGTCATCCGCACACTGTGCGTCGAAAGCTCAGGCTGGCTTGTGACTCCATGAGTGTGAGCTGTAGCGCTGAACATAGGGTCTGTGCGAGTAGAGTCGCCCTCCGCTGGACGGCGCTTAAGGTCACTGCGTGTGTGTGTGTGCCGCAGCACGGCACGTGCCCGGTGTGTCGGAGCTGTGTGGACGGCAGCTCGAGGCCGGCCGCCGGCTCGTCCTCGGCGCCCGGTCCTCCGCCCGAGCCCGGTCCGTCCGGCCGCCAGCCAGGTGCGTGTCAGGTGGGACTGTCACCGCCCCGCCCCGGCCCGGGGATGGCGGCCCTACCGGTCGCCGCCGACTGCGCCGCTTGCGTGCCGCGGCAGACGCCACCGCCGCCGCCCGTACCTTGGTGCCGCTGTCCCGTGTGCTCCCGGCTGCGTCCGGTGCCGGCGACGCTCAGCGTCACAGGTCTCTCGCCGAGTGGAGGTGCAGGTGGCGCGTGGCCGGCTGGCGGCGGTGCCGTCCCACTCGCCGGGTCGCCTCCGTCCGCCCCAGTGCCGCGCGCGCGGCAGCCGGGCCGCGCCGCCGTCGGTCTGCCGTCGGGCCCGGCCAGTGACGCGTCTTCTTCTCTGCCGTAGACCTGCACCGCCGACCGGAGGGGGAGGGGGAGGGGGGGGGGGGGGGGGGCGCCGCCGGTCTGTCGCCGGGCCCGGCCAGTAACGCGTCTTCTTCTCTGCCGCAGACCCGCGCCCCTGACCGGGGGGCGCCGCCGTCGGTCTGTCGCCGGGCCCGGCCAGTAACGCGTCTTCTTCTCTGCCGCAGACCCGCGCCCCTGACCGGGGGGCGCCGCCATCGGTCTGTCGCCGGGCCCGGCCAGTAACGCGTCTTCTTCTCTGCTGCAGACCCGCACCGCTGACCGGGGGGCGCCGCCGCCGGTCTGTCGCCGGGCCCGGCCAGTGACGCGTCTTCTTCTCTGCCGCAGACCCGCACCGCTGACCGCGGCGCGCCGCCGCCGGTCTGCCGCCGACCCTGTGATACCGCCGCGCCGCCGGTTTCGTTCCCGAGGCAGCTGCGCGCGGCCGGCGCCGGCGTTCCGGGCCCTCTCCTGCCCGGTCCGGACGGGCCGGGGCGCAGCGAATGGTCGAGTCACCCCGTGACGCCGTGTGCTGACTGGGGCGGGCTGGCACCAGTTCGCTGTTGATGTGCGGCTGCGGTAGGTGAATGGGGTTCGATTCTTACGAATTTCGGTGCGAACTGTAGCGGGCTTGTCGTGTGTTGCACTGCGGGGCGATAGCGTTCAGGACACGGGCAGGTCTGATCGTTTCGTGCTTATTGCGGCTCATGCGCGCCGGGACTAACTAGCGATGCGGATCGTGTCGGCTGCAAATCTCTCACAGCGATGGAAGCCCGGCGCCCCGCTGGTGAGCTCCGCGCGATCACCTCAGAACATGCCTTCTGGGATCGGTGGCCCACCGCCGCGTCACATGGTGGGTTGCGCATTGTGGCGTTGGGGGAATAGTCAGATGGCTCGTGTTTCAAGCTATTCAAATTATTGTTTGCTTGTGTGTCGAGTTCATTCGTGGGTAAATGACAAGTACGCAAGCCGTGGTGCTGGAGCTTACGTCGTGGAGGCCGAGGCCATTTGTCGTGGCCGAATGTGCTAAATTTATCTCAGGCGTGCAGTACGTTTTACTTTACCAACGGCTATGGTGCGCGTACAATCGGTCCACACGGCTTTCGTGTGCCGGTGGCCTGGTTGTGCCATCCTCGGGGGAGAAGCGGCAGCGCAGCAGCGTGTCGGCTGGGGCGGGCGCCCTGCTCAAACCGAGCCCCCGTCCCGGGTAACGGCCGCTGTTGTGATGCGCCAGTGCCGACGCGTGCCCCGTCGTCGGTGCCGACGGTGACGCGCGAGCGCGCCGCCCGTCTCGGTCCGGCCGTGCTCGCTGCGTCGGCGTAGCGCTGAACGCCGGCGGCAGTGTGCTGCAGCGTGCTTACACAGTCGACGTGACCGTAATGTTTTCAGCGGCGAGAAAATATACGAGACCGATTCAGACATCGCTGCAGGTTGGCTTGATGCTGCTGTGACTGTGACGTAGTCGTGACGGTGAGGCGGGCGTCGACACGCCGCGAACGTTGCCAACGCCAGAGTTGTAATCGCGGCGTGTTATCAGCCCTGGGACTGCAGAACGGACTACGTCGTGTGGCGGCGTGCTCCGACAATGGCTGGGAATGTGACGAAACCAACGGCAGCTAGACATGTGTCGAGTTCCCTAACATTGCCTCAACTGATCCACGACGTTGATGCCGTGGTGTCGCCGTCTTTCAACAGGGTTTTAGTGTGCTTGACTATTGGAACGCGAGCAGCATGGCATTAGTAACATAAAACTAGACGAGCCTACACCCTTTTGAGTCGCTGCGCATAGGTGTGTTGGAAAGCAAATATGTCATTGTTCTTCGGCGTTCCGTCCTGAATTCAATTTTAGAAGTTTGGGAAAGCGAATGGCTTTATTAAGCGCGGTCTTTCGCGGCGGTTTAGATGCTTAGCTTTGTGGTTTCGGTATATAGAAAAGGGACCTGGTGGACAATTACCACAGTCGTCACACACACTTCACGCCGCACGTGACCCAGTGAAGTCAGGTATCCATGGTGGCATCATTGATCGCTTCGGGGCCCCGATCTGCTACCATTGGGGCCGCTGGGAGCAAGGCACGGTTTGGCGTGGGACCCGCCCGACGGACAGCCGCGCCTTCCCACTAGTGTTTGGCGCAGACCGGGCAGGTGCGCCGGCGCAGTGCAGCTGTGAGCCTTGTCTCGAGAGGAACCCGGGCGGCAGAGGTAAGCAGCCTGTCACGAGAGGAAACCGAGCGGCAGAGCTAAGCAGCCGGCACAAGAGGAACCCGAGCGACAGTGGTAAGCAGCCGACGCGAGAGGAACCCGAGCGACAGAGGTAAGCAGCTGACGCAACAGGAACCCTAGCAACAGAGGTAAGCGGCCGACGCAACAGGGACCCGAGCGGCAGAGGTAAGCAGCCGACGCAACAGGAACCCGAGCGACAGAGGTAAGCAGCCGACGCAACAGGAACCCGAGCGACGGAGGTAAGCAGCCGACGCGAGAGGAACCCGAGCGGCAGAGGTAAACAGCCGACACAACAGGAACCCAAGCGACAGGTAAGCAGCCGACGGAACAGGAACCCGAGCGACAGAGGTAAGCGGCCGTCACGAGAGGAACCCGAGCAGCAGAGGTAAGTAGCCGACGCGAGAAGAAGCCGAGCGGCAGAGGTAAGCAGCCGGCGGAGAGGAAGCCGGGCGGCAGAGGTAAACAGCCGTCACGGTGTATGCCAGTACGTGGCAGGGCTTCGAAATGTGTTCCTGGTGTTGAGAGCTGTGCGCTCGCAATTGAGAGAAAGTTTTCTGATAAGTCAATATTTGCAGTTGAGCTACCAGTTGCAGTTGCAGCTGTTTGCGTGATACAAGAGATTAAGACGGCATTTCCTGTCGTGCGCCCTTTTCTCCCAGCAGTGTTGATGGAGTGATATCTACGACATGCCGCGTCATTCGAAAATGCGGCAGACGAACAGAGCGAGGCATGTGCTATTTCTTAACTACCACGTCTAGGTCCACTTCTAGATGTGCGTCACATTGCTACTGCTGCTGCTGTCGGCGCTGGGAGACCGACTGTTGGCTGAGCTCGACCTGCAGGATCCAGCGTGGATACATTTTAAGGTGCAGACCTGACATCTGGTGTTCGGTGCTCTTGGGCGTTTAAATGAATAAAAAGCAAGCGACGCACTGATGCGGTGGCATGTCTGGGATGTTTGCTGAAATGGAATGGCGCCTTGCTTCAAGAGCATCAATCGTCGACTTCTGCTTGCGGTCCACAGCTCGCATATCGATGGCGATGTTCCTCACTTTAGTGTCAAATCGTCGAACAGTCGGATAGCTAAGGGGAGAGCCAAGGCGGGGAGGGGTTGGTCGCTCCTGAACCAAGAAGTTGGCTCTAGATGCTGGGTGACTGCAGGAATTCTGTCCAAAGTCGTATGATTCTGGAGAAAAATTGGCATTTGTGTCGCCAAGGCCTGCGGAAAATATTTGCCATGTGCCTGTCCTCGCATCATGCGCACATATTTAATGCGTGTCCATTTTACGCAGTCCAAATACGGCAAAACGTACTCTAGCCTGGAGGAGGAAGCCAGACGCCTGGCCATCTTCAGACGGAACAGCCGGCTGATCGCGGAGCACAATGCCGGCGACAGCTCATTCCGCATGGGCGTCAACCACCTGGCCGATCTGTCCAGCACCGAGTACCGGGCGCTGCTGAATAAGCGTGTGCTGCCCGCCCCACGAGCGGACGAGCCTGGCGACGCCTCTGCCGGCCGTCGCGGCCCGACGGGCATCTCCAAAGACTGGCGGGCCGAAGGCGCCGTCACGTTCGTGAGGGACACCGGCAGCTGCGACGCCAGCTGGGCCTTCGCCGCCACCGGGGCCGTGGAGAGCGCCTGGTATCTCGCCGGCCACACGCTGGTGTCGCTGTCAGAGCAGCAGCTGCTCGACTGCTCCCACCAGTAGGTGGACGCCGGTGGCCCAGCTTACGTCTCGGCCATTAGGGGGGGGGGGGGGGGGGAGGCAGAGGGTGGGAAGCGCCTGAGAAACTGAGCAGTTTGTTTGCTGCGAGGATTTGAATGTTGTGCACGTGCAGCCTGATTCCCGGGTCAAAGCCCCGGGTAAAGAAATGGTATGGTTGCACTTTGCCGCTCCAGGAAGATGTGTATTTTAGACATGTAAATGTACAGTGCTTACCGTAACCGGAGCCTGGCGTTCGGGGACTGCCCGGGTCCCTGACTCCCTGATTTTTGTTAAGAAGGCAATTAAAAATCGCATGAATCCAATCTACAGTGCATGTCAGCCTTGCGATCACGGCTGGTGCCGATGTTCAGAGGAGTCAGCTGCTTCCCCGCGCTTCAGGTACGGCAACAACGGCTGCGACGGCGGCCTGGCGAAGCAAGCTTTCGAGTACGTCACGAGCGCAGGCGGACTGGAAGCCGAGACTGACTACCCGTACCGCAACCAGACCGATTACCGCTGCCGACTAAACGACACCGCCACCTCCGCCAACATCAGCAACTGGATGCTGACGACGCGCGGCAGCGAGGCTGAGCTGGAGTACGTTGTCTTCCACATCGGACCCGTGGCGTGCGCTATGGATGCCAGCCACAAGTCGTTTCAGTTGTACTCGCACGGCGTGTACAGCGATTTAAAATGCAGCACCACGCGGCTGACGCTCAGCCTCCTCATCGTGGGCTACGGCGTCGAGAACGGCGTGCCCTTCTGGCTGATGAAGAACGCCTGGGGCTACGGGTGGGGCGAGCAGGGCTACATCAAGTTACAGAAGGGACATGGGAATATGTGTGGTATCGCGTCGGATTGCAGTTATCCGGTGGTGTAACCTGGCGTTCCGCGGCTCTGACATCTGTTCATGGCGTCTCGACGGTCGCTTGTGGGACCTGTGCGACGGAGCGGTACTACGAGTTTTCGCCGCGCATCTCCAGCGGCCGGCATTTTGAACTGTGCGACGGAGTTATGGTGAATGCTGCCCTGTCCCAGCTAGACCCGATACCGATCTTGATGAATAACAAAGGCCTGAGAGCATCGCGCGCGCCATCTTTCAGCTGTGCGTTGAATTCACTGGTTTTCACCATTGAGTTCATGTAAGATGATTCTTGGAAGGCACGGGGACACACGGGACATCACACGAGTTACAGCCTGTTCAGCACAGTATACTCGCTTGTTGTGATTTCGAATTGCGCAACAGGCAATCCACAGAACGCTGCTAACGAAACGAAGGTATTCGAATTAGCACTACAATGCTGCGCAAGTTTACCCACGAACAAGACATACAAATGTTTTAAAATGCCAGATCAGTATGTAACATTTTGAGAGGCCAGATAAGTCCGAATAAGAAATGTGTGACTGGCAGGTAGCATTTTTAAGATTTCGGTGTGTTTAAACAGAGAGCGATTCTAGCAATAGAATTCGTTAGCTTTGCCGTTGCAGGTGGGATTGTAGGATCGTACTCAGGTGGCAGCACCAGCGGTCCAACAGGGGCGCTGCTGTCAATTGCCGCTTGCGAGCCGGAAACCTTTTTCATCATTAAACCGAAATCAGCGCCGTGTGACGTCGACTCACTGTGGTAAATTGTCTACATGATAGTCTGATAAAGTGAAACTAGGCGAGAATGTTAGCAGCGATGTCAACCTCTTTAACTGACTTCCAAGTATTTTCAAACGTGATAGGTAAGTGCAACTTGGCAGAAGTCTTCCGAAATAAATCGCTTAGGTCAAAATACATTACGTAAAAGCCACACACCAGCTGGCCATCCCAAAACCTAACCACTGCAAGAGTATACCGATAGCCTGTGAATATCTACCGGGCATTTCTAATCATGGGTGATGGAGGATGCAGCACTTCTATGAGGTATGGAACCGAATGATAAGGAAAGAACTACGGAGGTGTGCCACAGTACCAACCGCTGTTTCTTGCTCTCTATAGACACTTCCTAAAACTTTCGGTGTTATCTAAAAATTACAAATGGGCAATGCAGACGAATCGCAGAGCGAAATTGAAACCCTTGAGCGCAGCAGGATAGTTTTGTTTCGCATCAGCCGTAAATGCAACCATTATTTTGCGAGAATGCGGAGCCAATAAAATGATGTCTTCTAGTGTTGTCTCTAGTGATACCTTGCCAGAGAAGCAGGCGGATTGCCGCAAGGGCCTCATTTTCGTCGCACGATGAAACGCAGTTAACACAGTCACCGGTTCGTGGAAGGCTCGGTTCCGGGTCTTGGCGCTCTGCTCTCGGCGCACTGCGGCGTGGCCGGCGCGGCGCGCCCTGACCCCGGCTGACCTGACCGACCCGGCCTACTGCCCGGGTTGATGACCGCCTCGCTCGGCCCGGTTCGGCTCTGCGGGGCGGCCGCGGGCGCCGGCTTTCTCCTGGACCGCGGCCCCGCCGCCGGCGGGAGTCCGGGCCGGCCAGCGGCGGCCACCGCAGGCGCCGGCGCGCCCGTGTCCCGACGGAGCCCAGGCCGGGCCGGGGTACAGCCGCGACTGACGGCCGGACAGCCGGTGTCTGCGGACTTAGAGACGCTGTCTTACGGCGGCAATGGCTTGCTTATGTTTAGAAGACGTAGGAAAGCCACGGAGCTGTGTGACAGCTTACAAAGCCAAGCTTTTGTCGTCCTGCCGGTCTGGCTTTCCGGTCCTTATTTGTGTCAGAAACCAGAGAGCAGATACAATCATGCATAAGCGTTACTGGAGCAAATTATCTGACTGCGAAAGATGACCCGATAAAGGAGAGGAAAGATATCAGCTCGGGATTTTTCAATGTTTTAAGCTGGGCTTATCCTCACGACAGTACAAGCCCAGCATGCAACATTGAGCGTTGTCAAGCAACCAATGCTTGCACTCCGACGTCGTTTTACCAGTACCTCGTGGAGTCGAGGGAGGGGGCTGAACGGTGAAAATGGCGAAAGCTTTGCCCAAAATACGTCAACAATCGGGTTTTGTCAGACCTGGCCCACTTTCTTCTCAAAGTTTGGGGCGGAGTAGATCCCGATTTAGAGGGAGAGAGAGAGGGGGGGGGGGGGCGAAGAGCCAACTAAATAAGAAACTGCACCCTTGCTACCGGTTTGATGAGGGCCGATAGCTCAGCATAACCTTGAACTGCACTCAAAATGCTAAAAATGGTACCGTCGCTCGGTTTACAAGTGGTAAATGACTTTTTCTGTTCTTATTTCACTCGTCATCGCAATACTTGCGCGCCGCATATTATAACCAGCATACATTCTACCCCAGCAGACGTGAAACCGAATTGTTGCTGGATTTCACATCACGCCCATCGCGTATCGTCACGTGGATAAAAACGCTATAAAACATCGGTGTCTCCGTCAACCCGCGGTCCGTGGCGGCTGAACACCGGCCGAGCCGGTTGGGAGATGGTGCGAAACACTCCACGTTAAATATACACCTTTGAGGCGCTGGAGAGCCAAAACGTTTAATCCCCGCACGTTCCAACACGGATGTTTAAAATCGTAGACCTTGTGTTAGCTTTCAGATCGTAGAAAATGCGCGTGATCATTTGGCATGATCCTTTTGGGCTGAAGCTCCGTTTTGAAGTTAAAATATTACTTCAGTATTTTTGGCCACACAACAGACCAGATGATGACGATTGCTGGTGTAGACAGGAGCCAAAGCGCGAGTGGCAGTGCTTCAAATGTTTGCGATATGTCTACGTGATATGTTCGCGATAGGTTTACAAATTGTTTTATTTCACTTCTGATTGTTTGTGAGCATGAACGCTGCAAGACAAGATGTGATTGAAAACGTTTTACCAGACTCAGTCGCTTTAAGATAGTTCAGTTAATCATCTGATTAGCCATCGTATGCTGAGAATATAGACGAAGCTATGTTGCTTGTTTCCAAACCCAAAGTTTTTTTGGATGCAGGCGAAGAGCGCGAGTGGGTGGTGGGGGGAGAGGGTGACAACAATTTCACATGCTTACCTAGCACAGATTCTTCAATCGTTTAAAACAACATCAAGCTGCATGATGAAAAGGTGCCTCATGGGCTATGGTAGGTGTACATTAAGGCTGAGGTCGAGAAGGACAGTGTATTTTATAGTGTCTAGCCATCGAGAACACTGATAATGATAATGGTTGCGGAAATGGAAGGCTCTGACCTCAGAAATCTATCCTGCTTTGTTCTCCACCCAACCTGTTCCCTCTCGCCAGTTGGCCTTGCCTTGGTATTTTAAGGGACCATCAAAACCCATTACCAACATGCTGGCCATTCCTTATTTTTCAGGTAAACTGCAAGAGTTCGTAGAGCGGTTCGCACTGTTCGTCTAGTCTCATTTGTATGTGAGCTACAGGGGGCTCGGGTCTGCGGCGACATCCCATGCATTTATACACCGCAGCGGTATGCCGGAGCCTCCAGGCCGGTCAGTGCCGCCCGCCCGTGGCGGGGACAGGGTGGAGGCCGGGTCCCAGAGACCTTGCCCGCCACGCCGCCTCCTTACTCAACGGTGGCCCGGGGGCGACGGCCGGCGGAAAGTGAGAGTAGGACGTGGCGTGCAGGGTTGCCGCGCCGCCGCCGCGTGAAGGAGGGCACACCCTCCGACCGCTGGCACTGCGCAGGTTGCGCTGAAGCCTTGGATTGTGCTTCAAGGCGGCCATAAAGTCTGCTGACATTTTTACCCGGTGCTTAGAGCCAGAGCAGACTGAAGTGTTGACAAACGACCAACAAAAGACAAAGGTCCTTCGTAGCCCTAAGGTTGTCCGCGGCACGACGCAGGGTGAGAGCCTGCCACGGCGTCGTTAGGCACATTTCATTACAACCTTGGTCAGCTGGCGCTCTGCAGCTGCACATGTGCGCAGTAGACTTTACTTAGCTCCGGCCTCGAAACCCATTGTTCTTTAAACAAAAATCGCCAAAAATAACATGAAATGGCTGGATAAAGAACAAGCGTGTCGCAAACAACTAGAAAAGGGATTGAAATGCATTTTCGTGTAACGTTTCGACGGATGTCGTCCATCAGCGGTTGGTTTATGGTTAGATTTAGTGTAAGAAAGAAAGCACCACACCTATTTTTTCCATCTGGTGGCACTAGAAGGGCGCCCTTCGAGCCTCAGCCTTCGGTGCTTACCGTCTGCGACAGCGGCCTGAGGTTTGAAGGTTGGAATCAGTAAGGTGCGTAGAGTGAAGGGCTGCCCCCCCTCAACGCGATCCGTCTGCTATCACATCTGTAGGCCAGCGGGCTTGCACGGCATTTGTCGCGGCTCAGTCTTCGATATTAGAAGATCTCATATGTTGCTTTTTAATTGTGGGCAGGTACAGAAATGACGTTTTGGGCACCTGATACCAAGTAATCAAAGTGTTGATTGCTATGCATGAGCCTGGCGTGCGCGGGAGAGCCTACTGCTGGTCTTCATCGGTCGCTTGGTGAAGCCATGCAGTCGTACGATTTTTTGCCACTTCCACTCCCGATCACGGGAGTGGTCGGATGGAATAGTTCGCACCCCATTCGACGATTTCATTGAGGAGCTCACGAGATGCGAGGGCGATATGCTTCTTTACACGACTGCCTACCGCTACACAATACCATCGGGAAGGCGGATCAGTTTGTTACATCTGCACCATGCTGGTACGACTGAGGCCAGTAATCTTTCGTTTTTAGGAACGTGAGCCGAAGTTACCACTGACACTCCCAGCTGGTGTTTTGAAAGAGATGGCCCATCAGTCGCAACTTATCGTTGTCTCGCAGACTTATGTCACCTGGTCTCCTCTGAAACATTGTTACCTCGGCAGAGGACCATTTGGTTGTGGTTGTCCTGCACGTGAGCATTGCTATGGAGAAGAGGGCGAATAAGCCTGGCCGCGGCTGATCCTTGCGGAATTACAACGCCTATGCACGCTCCCGACAATGCCTGCACTTGGCTGGGAGGCACCCGCGGATTAACAGGCTTCGCACTGCAACAGAGGCGTTCCACGGAACAAAGCACTCCCTTCTTCAAATTTAATACCA